CCTGTGAAGGATCCCTGTAGCCGTGTCATTGTTATAGTACTGCTGTTAAGAAGGCCACGGTACTGTAACAGTATATTACTTCCCAAACAGGGTTCCACTTAAGATTATCTTTTGCAAGCCGGGCATATTTTGGTTTCAGTTTTTTATTGTTACTTGAAAGCATATTAGAATCAGTTCTATTATCTGAACTAATTATACTATCTAAATTAGTAATGTTATCAGAATTTATTTTACTTTCAGCCATAGAATTTTTATTATCAAAAACACTATTCCTATACTTTTTAACATTTATTGCAATAGTAAAAGGGTTCTGTGATAGATCATGAGTATCTTTTTCTTTTTGTTTTTTTTTGTTTGAATTGATTTCATTTTTTTAAGAATTGTTTTATTAGATTATTTCACAAGATGATTTTTTGAATATTAAAATTAAATCGATTCTAAGTATATTAATTTAAGTAATTGAAGGGTGTGGTGACTTAGTAAAGCGGTCAAGTTGTCACCCCCAAATGGCATGTCTAGGGTTCGAATCCTGTTGAAGATAAATCTTTGAATTTCTATCTATATACAGCTATGATCTTCCCTGTTGAGGCTGTGTTATGCACAGTGCTCATCAAAGTTGGGGTTCAGACTGTAATCTGGTATTCACCAATTTAACCAAATTGGGAGGACCCATAGGGCGTTCATATAATGCACAAGTTATACAAAGTCATGCAAGCCGGCAAAGAGCAGTGCAAACCCAAGATAAGTTCTTATGGCCGGATAATTCTTAGGAACTTCGGCAAGATTGATGCCTGTTTGGCAAGACCTGAGTAGAGAGGTAGCGCAGACTTAAGTGCCTGGGTGATCTTCATAAGGGCAGAGTGGTTCAAGAAGCAGTATAACTTGCCCATAAAGATATAGAATTTATCCGATGAAGAATCCTCCTGTGGCTAATCAATAGCTGCTAGATTCACCAATAGAATGGGTCTGCCATTCCAGATATTATATAGCTTGAAGAAAACTAGATCATCTGTTAGATAACAGACAACAACGAAGGGCACTAGTTAGATATTCCCTTCCCTTACTATAACTAGTTGTATTTTAAATTAGTTTCTTAATAGAAAATAAGAGGTAATTTGACATATGAAAATGGTTATACAAGATAAATAACTAGTTAGAATAGTATCACCTTGATACAGGAATTGTAACTAATATCATGTATACGGCAAATTCAAAAAAAATAAAAAATTTAAGTAATTTATATATGTATCAATGCAATTAAGTATTATATAATAAATACTTAAATATTCAAAAATTTGATACATATTGATATTAATATCGATGTCAATAAATTTATCATTATAGAAAATAGTATTAAACTAAATTTGGTTAGTATAAGAAAGATACTAAAATCAATATATAGTTTAACAATAGTTACATTGGTTACAAGAACAGTACTAATCTAGAGATTAAATAAATTTTCTTAAAAATAATCAAAAAAATATATAATTATAGTAAAGCATAGAAATTAAATCGGGTTTAAAGGTAATTGGAGTTAAATTGGAACTTTAAATCAATATTAGGAATGGTGTACTATTGAAATTTCATGAAGCTGATGATTTTACACTACAAGATTTTGTGTTATAAAAGCATAAGTATAGATTTGATTTTTACATGTGATTAAATTTGGAAATATGATAGTTTCTTAGTGAAAAGCTTGTCAACAAAGTGACAGTGCATTCATTATTGCAAAATTAGATGACTTTGTATGATCAGATGACTTTATAGATCACATGTTCAATTTGTCGTTTAACTTGTTATGGTTATTTGTGT